TTCACAAACACACAAATCTAGGCCAAATTCTACCACCACCTCAATTACATCCAAGACAACAACAAAAAAACAAAACAAAAACAAACAAACAAACAAAGGGTGATTGGAATCAAAACGGTAATAAAGAAAAAGAGTTTTAAACACTTCCGAAAGACACACAACCCACACATGAAAACTTCCACCCACAACAAAGAACCTTCAAAGAGATGCAACAAGCCCATAAAAAAGGTGGATCCATTTTTGCAAAGAATTCAACAAACGTGGAATGGGAAAAAGACAAAAAAGAGAAGCGGAATGGGGGTGTGAGAGAGAGAGGGAGGGGGGAGTCGACGTGGCAGTGACGAGGACAGGCGCGGAGGCGCCAGCGTGGCGAGTGGGAAGAAGTGACGTGGACGATGACATGGAGGGTGACTAGGACGGGGGGGGCAAGGGGGAAGGGCAAGGGTGTCGTCTCAGACAAGTGGCCGTGAAGAGGGAGTTGGGGGGGGGGGGGGACTGCCAGAGCAATAAAAGGAAGGGGAGAGCTCCACCCGGGTTTCATTTTTATTTTTTTCCCCCATCCCCTCATTCCCCCTGGTCCTCCCTCCCTCCCTTCCTCTCCCTCTTCCTCTCCCACTTGCTTACGCTCATCTTCTTCTTAGTCTCATTCCTTTCCTTTTTTTTTCCTTCTTCTCCTTCTTTGTTTCGGTTATAGCTGGTTTTGCTGCCCGGGATGTGGAGTAAAGTCCGACTTTCTTCTTCTGCGTCTGCTTTTTTCTTTTTTGGTTTTCACTTCATGGTGCAGACGGGGTTAAGGTTTTCACTGAGCTCACCGTGATTGACTAGAGTTTCATCGGGGACGGACAGCCGCGGTCGAATTCCATATCCCTGCTTAACTCGTCTGCGTGGATGCGTGCGTGCGTCGTCGTCGTCGTCTTGGTCGTGTCTGCCATGCGAGAATTTGGAGTTGGATTAGGGTAGGGCTTAGTTGGGCAGGAACGAGGAGAAGGGGAAGGGGACGGAAGACGACAAGGAGGAGGTGGAGGGGGAGGAGGGTGATGCTGATGATGGGGAGGGTTAGACGGTATGCCCGGTGGGCTGATTGGACGATGGTGGAGCTCCCGAGGGCTGCAGCTGCTGTGGGATTATGATTGCTGGGATGTGACGCGGGGGGAGGGAGGAGGAGGTGGGATGGAGGCCGGTGGGAGTGCTGGGGTGGAGGAGATTTAGCTGCTGCTGGGGTGGGGTGGGGGTGATGAGTGAGGGCGGAGCGCGGAAGCAGGGTTGTGGGTGGTGTTGTTGATGAGGGCGGGAAGGGAAATGGCGAGGCCCCCGTCGGATATGAAGAATAAGCGGAAGGAGGTGGAGGTGGAGGACGCCGGGGAAGTGGAGTCCGGAGGGGCCGAGAAGCGAAGTAAGCCTAATGCTTTGATTGAGCTCGGTGGGCGGGAGAGGGATGAAGATGAGACTAGCAGTAGTGGGGGTTCGTTGTTGAACACCGTTCAAAGGATTTTGGAAGCTAGGAAACGCTTCCGGCCATTGCCTGTGCTCATGGGCGACAAGGTTGTGGATCTCTCAGCGCTGCATTCTCGAGTGAATAGTATGGGGGGATACAGTAAGGTGACCGAGGCTGGGATGTGGAGTGTGATTTCGGATGCTTTAGGATTAGGGCTAGAATGCGGACCAGGGTTGAAGCTGGTGTATGTGAAATATTTGAAAGCATTGGAGGCTGATAAGTATGTTAAAGTGGTGAAGAGCATATCCAGTTTGGATGTGGCTCAACCCAGCAGTTCAGTGCGACCCATTGGATGCTGGGAGTCTGGGCCAACGAGCCGAGTTGCGGAACCAGGGTGTGAAATGCAGGGAAATGGGGATAATGGGGACTATTTGCCTGAGGACTCGATCGAGGGTCATACAGTTACTCCGCAGCTTGCCCATGGACAGCGGAAAGAAAGTGACAGCGGGAGTGATAATGCTGGGGCGGCAATATCAGATGAAGATGCCATTGGGGATCTACGAGTTAGACATGAAAATCAGCTGGAATGTAGACAATCACTCACGAGTGAGGATTGGGCAACTACGTATGCCTCAGGTGAACATCTTGCTAGGAACTCCTATGACAGGGGAGATCAAGCTCAGGCGCTTAGATCTGATGATGTTCCAGGTGCGAGCGAGGATTGGTATGAGGGAGAGAGAGAAGAAAATATCCTCCATCAGCGGGAGGCCTTGTTTGGGATGTTGGAGTGGATAAAGCGAATTGCCATGATTCCAGGGAACCCCCCAGCAGCGCTGGAAACAGATAGTTCAGGGAAAAATGACGATTGGGTGAGTCAATGCCAAATGCTGACAGCCAAAGTGCGCTCTGTCCTTTGGAAGGAGCCTCGGGCTGGAGATAGCTCCATACAGGTGTGTGTCGCCTGGAATTCCCCTTGGATGGGTCCTTGGCCTTTTTGTCCCCTGATTCGATAATGTGTCATTTGAAGAACGGATACGGAATATCATGTCAAAGAGAATGCCGTATGATTAATGTGATCGTAGCTCCATCTGGTTATCCACTATTCGATGAACCTCGTGTCCAGTGATTTGAGCTGCACATAGTCCTATTTTTAGTACAATACCGTGCTTGTCAGGCGATGCCGAACTTTTCTTCAATTATATTTGTTCATCAAAGCCATGCCTGATGTGATGCAGGCAAAGCCAATGCCTTCCCTGTATTACGATGAGCCAGTTCGACCGGATGCCCAGGCTCTTGAGCGTTTACGAGCTACTCGAGAGCGACTGGCTCATTATGGGTTCCAGCCAGGCCTGGGATCTAATTGTAGAGGAGGAACGTCCTCGAATCAGGACAGGAACGATGCATCCTACTGGGGAGCATCGGGGGCTCATGTCGGACAGCGCTCAGGCAGGCACTCGGTGAACTATAGTGAATCGGCATTCGCTCGTTATAACCAACAACGGAAAAAAATTCCAATTGGCCCGGATTTTCAAGCGGACATGGATCGTTGGGTCCCACGAGAACTCTTGCACAGGAGTGGTGATACTACTCAAGATGAGTCTGGAGAAGGACCTAGTAGCAGCGATGAGGAGGATAACGACGATAGATGGCTTGGTTCACAAGTATGGCCTCAGCCCTGCAGAGGGGGAATAGACACTCCATTGAGGGTAGGCAAAGGACGGCCAGCATCTTGCGATTGTCATGAGCCTGGTTCTATGAATTGTGTGAGATTGCATATCACTGCGGCGAGGGCTAAACTTAGGTGTGATCTTGGGCAAGCTTTTAATCGGATGGGGTTTGATCAGATGGGAGAGTGTGTTGCCGATCAATGGAGTAAGGATGACGAACACACGTTCCGAATGATTGCCAGGACACATCCAGCGTCTAAGGGCAGAAATTTTTGGGACTATCTCCCGAATGCCCTTCCTTTTAAAACGAGGATGGAATTGAATAGCTATTACTTCAACGTGTTTGTGTTGAGGCGGCGAGCTCTTCAAAACAGACTGGGCGATAAAATTGACAGTGACGATGATGAAGGAGAATTAGGCGGTGAATCCGACGATAGTGTTTACGCATCCACAGACGATGACGAAGAGGATGAGGAGGTGTATGATCTTAGCGACGGGGCGGATGATGGTGGAAGTGAAGGCATACCGGACGCTTATCCTCTGAAAGTTCTAGATGATGTAGAGATGCGGAAATTCAGAAATGTTCCAGATTATCCCTTCAGTGCCGCGGAGGGGGTGGTCCATCATGGAGGTGATAGAGTCCGAACAGGCTCGTTAGTTGTGGATCTGGAAGATGTAGTCAACTATTGTACACACGACCATGCTGATTCCTCACATGTTGTGTTAGTGTGGGATGACAAGCACCTGGAGTCTTCGAATTTAGTGCCGCAAGGAAGGCATTGGGAGGATCCTCACTGGGATACTAGGGATCACCAGCAGGGGAGTTCTGTTCTTGGTGAGGATGTATCTAGTAGACAGTTGTCCCCACCCACCGGGAAGGAAGGTACTCAACAGTCCTCTGGACTTGGGGACTTATGGACCCAAAATATGGAGATGGCTCCAAAGCAGGAGAAGGATAGACTTCTCTCCACGAACGGAGTGATCCTAGAACTCTTCGGTGATGATGTAAGAAACTAAGGCAAAGATCTTGTGTTTCTCTAAATTACCTGTAATTTTCTAGAAAAATCTGCCCTTAAGGCAACCGACATAATTTAATCGAACGAAGCTCAGGATTTCACTTTGAAACCGGATTTTCGTATCTATTTTTTTTAAATACTTTGTTTCTTTACTTTGACAGCCTGTAGTCTAGTGTGTTTCGGATTTATGGCGTATCATCCTATTCCTATCTCGACTGTTTTCTTAGTGCCCCTACTTGTGGAGGGGGTATTGAATCTTGGTATGATCAGTCTTGGGGACGTGTTTCGGTATTGCTCCTGACACAAAAGTATTCTACCCAGGTTAACGAAAGGTTTGAGCGCAAGGCTTTCCTTTGTCCTGTGAATTTTTTCTGTTTTAGGACTTGATGAGCTGGGGTTCTTTAATCAACTATATTGGTCCTAAGGGATGCATTGCTACATTGGCGTCATCTGGACAATTAGAACAGGCTTTTAAATATTATTATCGCCGAAGATGCAACAGTGATGTTTCAGAGGCCTGATTGAGGAGGTGAATTTTGTTTAAGATGTTATTGGTCCTGTTTTTGTGTGATTTAGTTCGTTCCTTATATTTCCAGTTTGCAGTCTTCAAGGTAAGAATTGATTGTGTCCACTGGGTCATTTGTCGGGACGTTTTGCTTAAAAGACTAGTTGTCATCGTTACAAGCTTATAACAGTGCGAGTAAGAATCGTTTTTGAAGTATTGTAAACTTCTCAAAACTGACCGCACCTGGCAAAGTCGATGGTCAATTTCAGCCAAGTATTGGTTCTGGGTGAATTACAGTGGCTCTTGTTGCGAGTTATGTTGAAACTATTCGTGACTCGAATTTCTCCTTTCTGGTGTATTTTCATAATTATTGTCACACAAGTAGACAGGCAAGCTATAGTAATTTTGAGGTTTGGCTATCGAGGTTGATTAGAATTACCAGAAGAATGTTTCTAGAATCTACCTCTTCTTGTGTTAATACTTTCAGGGTTCGTAAATGACAGTTTTGGTTCCATATTAACGCAGGGCATCTCAATATCCCCAAGAAATCCATGAATACCTTTCTGGATAACCAATTTCGAAGATTGAAGCCCCAATGCCTCAATTCACGTTCAATTTGTCTAAGCAAAGTCTAGCTCTACTGATAATCTCGGGGGGAGAATGATTTACAGATCCGTTGTGGAAGGGAGGCTGGGAATCATATTCCATCATCAATTGCATCACTCTAGCAGTAATATCATCGCTGATTAGCGCTGCCAGCCTTAAAGCCATATCGATTCCCGCTGACATACCAGCCGCAGTTGTTATTTTTCCCTGCAATGCACACAGCAGTAAATTGGAGCACATGCTAATAACTGTATCATTCAATTGAGAAAACATTAAACAATGTTGGGGTCGAGGGTTTGCTACCTACCTCCTGGACGATCCGAGCGTAGACAGGTTTGGCCTCGTAGTTGGGCAGCAAGTGCCAAACACACCAGTGGGTTTTAGATTTCATTCCCTTCAGAATCCCTACGGCTCCTCATAGCGAAGACCCAGTACACACTGCAGTTGCACCTGCCCCTCCAGGAACTAAAATGACATCAGGGCTTGGCACCTACAACCATAACGTGAAGTAGAAAGTTATGTATTTGACCAACCCAGCCTTCGAAGTCCATTTACCATTTAATGAAAAGTGAACTAGATGTATTATAAATGACCCGTAAAATGAATTATTTAAGCAACGTCCTCTACCTCGTCGAAAGTAGCGGTGGCTAGGAAAGAGATCGTGCCAAGCTCAGCGCTGTATGAGCCCCTCTTGTGGCTTACTAACACTACCTTAACATTCGGTACCAAATGAAGCACCTCGTAGGGGCCTACAAAGTCGAGTGCTGTCACGTTCGTGAAGATGGGTATGGCAACCAGCAACACTTTTCTTCGGTGGCGTCAGAATTCCTACTCGTTCCAGCCATGAGCAGACGGAGCGTGAGAATAGAGTGGGAATCCCCGGTCAGAGAGAACTTGGGTTACAGCTCGTTAGCCTCAAAGGTTTAAGGGAGACGAAGACAAGACTTCGGGAAGTAATGTGAAGTTGCATGCTCCTCGGAGGCCTCTAGGATGTGTGCGGAGCCTGTCGTTTCGCCACTTTGATTGCATTGAGTAAGCTTCGAGACGAGGTTTCTGTTGACACAAAACTTGCATTGCATTCGCGCTCGAGAGCAAGAGTTACTGCTCTTTTTACATCACTGTTTACACTGGAGGAACGGTCCTTGAAGCTCTCAAAGGTCGTGTGGCCATCAGGTACCAATCGAATGAAGCAGGATTGAGACTTGTGCTGTTTGATCTCAGATCAATTCTATGATTTGCAAGTTTGGGCATCTTATTTTAAATGACCCAGAAAAATTATGTCTAGATTCTAAGATCCATCAAGGTTACCACATTGGACTTGATGTTCCAAACCCTAAATGAATATTGAAGGGGCAAACCTATTTGAGTCCAAGAGTTCAAGACTTACAGCTTTACAAATCACACCATACGCTCCGAGAGATGAAGCAGGCAGGCCGAGCAACAGATGTCCAGGGTCCTTTGCATACCAGTAGTACATAAAATACATCAGAATAGACATAGCCAATCGGTCACCTGAAAATTCCCTTGAAGTCATCAATCCGAGCATCCGCCTGCCGTATTAGGTCAGTCAATTCCTTCCACCACAACCATTGCAGTGGAGAAGTAAAGATCCATTTCAGTGGATCATGTTCTGATAACAGATAAAGCCCAAGCCTGAAAAGATTCTAGAATCGGTAATTTCGACCTGAGAGTGCTTGCTGTAGAAATAGATGCAGGGTACAAGATTGACACTAACATGCTCCACTTCACCAGCTTGTTCCAGAGGGCCAAAGTGAGTAGTTGCGATGTTTCTCGCAAGTAGATGATTCTGAGAAATGAACCGGAGTGCAGTTGTCATTACTATTAAGGTCCTTTGAAGCATTGCATTATCTGAAATGATTATCGCCAAAAGCGGACGGAGCGATCAGTTCCACAGGTTACGAACGCTGCTTCGCTTGGAGAGTGTTCTATCCATCGTGGAGCACCCACATGGTTTGATGGAATCCGTGAGACTATTTCTCCCGTGAGTGAATCCCACGCCACGATCTGCACACGTTGATCATGAGAAAAGCGTAAGTGAAAGGAAAATTCTACCTCAACAAAAGTTTACATGATCCAACATATAGCTTCCATAGGTCGCATAAGAGCACAATGGACCGTCCGAAGAAGGGGACTAGAACATACCTCATTTTGTGCTTCATCGATGGAGAGAATGAATTCCTCCGTGTGGTTGAAAATTGCCTGTGTACACGAATTATTGGCAGGTTCAAGTAGAGAAGCACACAAGTGAATTCTCATCGGTTTTTATATACCAGATCCCCGAACAAAGCCCTTAACAGCAATCTAACTTCACATGGGATGATTACATTAAAGAGGCGAATTTAACGAAGTTAGAAGATACTCTCGCGGTCTCGCAGATTACTTCGAGAGAATTGGGAGTATTTTGTATAAATTAGAATTCTTCAAACATAGAAGGCCCTTTATCATGCTGATGCGTATTCATGGACATCATTATTAAACTGAATGCACTGAAAACAAAGTTTCCCAAGGGCTAAGGGCTGCATACCTGGCAGCGCATCTGATGATGTTGAGCACCTTGGTAGGACTTCACTTGCCGACCTGTGCCTACTTCCCATAATCTAATCTGAGAGTCCTTTCCACATGACAGAACATATCTGCACACCAAACCATACGCGGATCATTGGGATTGCTACTAAAAATCATTGATCATTCTACAGCTATGATCTGCAATCTATATGTAGTGCTTTGAAAGTTCAACGGGATCCTCAAAACTCTATCTACCCCATATTAAGAAGGGCCAGATCCAGACTACACTGAGTCTCGATATACTGGGTGGAGAACTGCCGTAGAACTAAACTACTGAGGCCTACTGAGTTTCTTCTATGTGTAATATGTTGACTGAGAAGCAAAATCATAGTACTAGTGTGTCAGTTGCAGGCTCTTTTGAACTGTAGGTCGACAGAATTGAGACTTTAGTGTAATAACATACCTCTGATCTTTGGTAAAGGTGGCGCTAGTTGCCTCGGTAGTTCCATGGGCACAAGTAATTGCTCGCACGCACTGTGCATTCAAGCCATCCCAGATTCGAACACTCCCGTCTTTGCTTGCAGTGACATATAAGCCTCCATTTGCAGAGTACCGAACCTACAAATCACATATGCTCCTATTAATTATACAGGAACGAAATTAAAACAGACGATTTGAGGACATAGCTAACATCTATGCAATGCAACTAATCATATGAACCATCCTCATTGTAAGGCCTTTCGATTGATTCGTTAATTTTAAAATAGCACGAGGTCAGAAAATAAGTCAAAGCTGATGAAATAAGGAGTTGGTCACAGTACCTGGTTAATAGCACCACCAACATGGCTGTCTTGAAGGGACGAAGACAAGTAGCACTGAAATGTGGACACGTCATACAGATGAGCAATCGGATGGTCCGTTCCTGCACAAGGGTATTAGAGAGGACAAGAGCATTACAAATAACATCTTGACCATAATAAATCCGACACATAATACTGGATCCCTCTCATCTAAGATTAAAAAAAAACGAGATGATGCCACGCAAACAACGCCACCACATCACATCAACGATAACCTAACAGTGCCGGTACTGTGAACTGTATATTGCTGGTGTTCAAGATTCAAAATTACGAACCTGCTAGGAGGTAATCGCCGCAGGGGTGGAACGCAACCGAACGAACATTGTGTGTGTCCTACATCAATTAATTAAAATATGAGCTTTTAGGTTGTTCATAACATCCTTAATACAGTCTACAATCCCAAGAACCACAACAAAAGCATTAAAAAAAAGCATATGAAAATGTTCATTATAGGCAAAGGCCATCGCTGATGGTACATACACAAAGCAAATGCTCTGAGACAAGTCCTCAACAAATGATAAAAAATCCGAAAAATTATGTTTACCTGAAAGAATCATCATACATAACAAAACATTAAACATGACCAGGAGCGAAGAGGGAAGCAGCAAACCTGAATAACTCTCACAGCACGTCGAGCTGCTGATTTGGCAAAGTCGAAAAACCTACGTAGAGCATTTCATCATAAAGACCAGTCTTACAAGAAATATTACGACACTACACTCCTTTGATGATCAGAAAGACGCTGTCGTCTTTAAACAAAAACACATCTTCCAGATAGCAAGAGAATACAAGTTTAAAACTAAACGATATAGGGTGTATACAGAGAGTGGAAACCATACTTGATAGTGCGATCCTTGGCACCTGATATAAGTATTGACATTTGTGGGTGGAAATCCAGGTCGTTAATTGGCTGCACCCCCAGAGTTAAACGTTTTAGTAGGACAGACAACTTAAATTTTAAGTCTTGAACTTTTATCCAGGTTCAACTCTTTTGAATAGACATAAAATTTGATAGACTTGTATAGTAGGAAATTCAGTAAAGCAGTTTGAGCACTAAAGATGAAAAAGAATCTTTCCTCAAAAATACTACGTATCGCGAGGAGCAAGAGCGATAAGCTCAAGACAATAACCTCAAGAACCTGGTGAATTTCTACTCTCAATTGAGTGACTGTGAAGACTCTAAAAAGATACAGAAACATACGTCACATGCGCCACCTCGATACTCGAAATTTTAGCAAAACAAAAGAAAACAAGGCCTCTTAGAAAATGCACAAGTACTCATTTTATATATTCAAGAACCTGCAAGTGGTCATAAAACGTTCGTATGACGGGACGAATTGGAGACTCACGGTTGCCACCATCTGCTACCAACATTTGCCGCACTTTATCAACCTGGATTTACCCAATAGTCCACAGTCATGCCCACTGAGGATTTAACATAAACCAATGTGCCCCTAACCCGTTTTGAACTGGTAGTATGTGTTTGCCACTCGTGGTATCCTAAAGAAACAAAATGGCATAATTAAGATATAAAACAACACTCATCGTATAATATATTCTTGGTCAATAATACCAAGTTGCAATGCGCTCTTAGGAACGGGGAAAAGAATCCCTTCCTGTAAATTAAACACGTGGAATTGTTCCAACAAAAAAATCTTTGGCAAACTCACCTCAAACAGTTTGATTGATGTATCTGCGCTGCCGGTAGCCACAAGTCGTCCGTCGGGACTGAAGCGTGCACAACGAGCCATGTTCTAGAACGTTACAAACCCCAACACATCGTATGAAAACCACCATTATTGTCTCGGTATTAGGATGTAAAGCACCCGATTTCAAAGACCGCCACAAACACCTTCACATCAAACTTCAAACTAGGGGAAAATAAATAGAATAGAAACACAACAATATGGTACATGTTGATTATGACATCATAAAAAATAAAAATAAAAACATCGAGGTGTACAAGGAATGTTCACATATTTGAAGGAATACCTTGTGTTCGGAGACATGTCGAGACTCAAACTTTGCGAAGGTTTTCGAGGTGCCTTTGGTTGCCTGCACTGAGCTGTAAATATACCATCAGTTGGCCTTATCCTTCAATCAATCTTGGTTTATGGAATAACACCATAGAGCCGTAGGTAAGGGGGCAGAAAAAGCGAAATCACTAGAGCATTGGAAGATTTCACACCTAAAATCCAGGGACGTCCTGGGCACCGCTGGTAAAGGCCCGTAGCCAGCTAAACTAGCTCCACTCCCATTATTGTCAATGGTAGGAGCTGGAACCGCATCATCCCGGTCCACAGCTAATCCCTTTTGTGAAGACAGTTGCAGAATACTGATGAGGATAGAGACTTAACAATCACGAGAAGACAAAGACAAAGACAAAACGAACAGAGGAGGCTTTCAGGTTTCGACGCAAGGATAGAAAAGATAAGCTTAAGTTTCTTTGACAATCGGTGTAGGCCACTGACCAAGGAGGACTTTCATTTTCCTCCAAAATATCTGGAAGTGGCACGACGGCTTCTCGTTATGATCATCACCACAGACAAAGCCGCTGCCATAAAGTCTCCACAGAGTTCCGGGCACAGACGACAAACTAAAAAAACCAAACCCAGAGATAAATTTGTGGTGGATATCAAAGAAAACAGAAAACTTGGAGTGAGAACGACCTACCTTGCGGACGAGGTCAAGGAGCTTATGTGGTGGCACATCGGACTGCAACGGCGTCATCGTTGCATTCGAGACAGCTAAAGCCGCCTGCATCGAAATGACGATAAAAATGTCAAAATACTTCCTTGCATATATATATATATATATATATATATACTCACGTACCCAAGAATGTACCCGAAACCGAAAACCCTACACCTCAGGGGACAACAATTCAAAGACCTCCAGTCTGCCAACACTCAAATCTCACAGCAGACAGGAAAGTTCATCTTCGAACCGATAAATGATGAGCATTCGAATCACTCCCTTCAAGGTTGCTTCTTGGTGCGAAGCAACACTCGCTGAGCTCCATCACAGAGCTAAAACCCACCCGAACTGCCCAAAACCGAATGCACAATCCACTTCGTTACAAGTGTTCTTACAAAGCAAAAATGCGTAGAATGGGGAGGAGAACCTGGTTGAGGTTGTGGTCGCGCAAGTGCGCCACAATCAACGCCATCACATGGCGCTGCAACGCACCATCGTACTGGTGCTCCGCGTCCGACCCCATTCCACTGCCCAGGCCTCGTCCACCCTCAAACGGGCATCCAGAGAGTGCTCCTCCGCCTCGCAACTGAAAATTCCAAATTCTGGGTAGTGCTCTGCGAGGCGCGTCCCACACAGAATGTGAAATAACAGGTCGCAAAACAATTTGATAGCGCGAGCATCAAGAGCTCGTGCAACGGAAGCTGTTGCAGGCACCGGCCTCGAAGTGATCAGAGCACCAAGTCAGCCCGTTCACACAGCCCCGTTCGGGTCATTTTTAGGGTTCTGTTCTCACAGCTAGTTTGCGTCCTTCTTAGTGTCGTGTTCACACTTGTCTCTCGGGTCCTTCATCGGGTCCTCTTCACACCTCCCCATTGGGTCCCCTGAAAGGTCTGTTCACACTACGAATTTGGATTTTTTGTACATTTCTGTTCCCTCCGCTGGAATGAGTCTTGAGTAGGGTTCTGTTCCCACAGCGTGCTTGAGTTCCGATAAGGGTCCTGTTCCCACCGCTGGTTTAAGTCCTGGGTAGGGTTCTGTTTGCACTTATCCTTAATCTTCTATAATTTAGTATCATTAGCAAATTGGATGCAAACCGGTTGAAAAAGTCCCCTTTGCCAACATGTTGAAATGTCTGAAACCGAGATAAAATTTGTAATTTATTTGTATGACAGAAAGAATAGTAAAAATAACAAAGTGGTAGGTAATGGTTGAGTTAGAGTTTGAGTTTTGATGAATGCTTTTGAAACTCTTCAATTAGTTATTTCACACTTGTTACTGACTGTTTCTTTTTGCAACAACCAAGTTGCCAAAGATGATATTCAAGAAGTTTAAGTGCTTGATGGAATTGTAAAATAAAATAAACATGAAAATTTTAAAACTGAGTAAATAAATTGTGAAGATAAATACACAGAACTACAAATATTGAAAGAAGACAAGTATGAAACTTACAATGTTTTCAGTTTATTCATTAAATAAAATTTGTAAATCTAACTTGAAAACGTGTAAGATTCCATACTTCTAAATTATTGAATAAATATAATTTAATTTTTCATTCCAAAAAATCAAAATTTAAAATGATTAAGATGTAGTATTCAGAACTATATTTGAATACAAAATTATTTAATTTAAAATCTTGATTTAAGAACTATTTTACAAAATGCTACAAGATAATTTTTTATTTTATTTTATTTCATTATTATTATCATGTGTGCTAACATTTTAAATAATTCTTCTACATATTTATTAATTTGAGGGTAAAAAATTTACTTAAAGAATTTTACTAAAAATTTGTTACAATTTCAAACTTTTTCAATTTGTTATATAAAAATAGAGAATTATTAATGTTACATCTCCAATTGATATTGCTACATACCATGTAATCTCTACACAATTTAAATTAGCTAAAAAGAATGCTTTTACACTAAGTGCACATTTAGAAGTCCAATATTTAATCCTAATATTGATCCAAGAATAGAATAGATTAGAAAAAAAATTATTTTTTTAGCAACAAAACAAAAATATTTTTTTAAAAAAAAATTAAAAAAAACAAGATTTTAAATTAAAAAAATTTGTATTCAAATATTTTTTTATTAAAAAAAATTACATGTGACATATTTTCTCATAAAATATTTATTTTCTCCCTCTCAACTATCTACTCTTCTAAAAGCAAAGAATAAGAAAAGTGCACAAAAGATAGACTCATATTATTAGTTCATTGTCTATGAAGAGCTCATCTTGGATGTAATAATATCAATTGGAAATGTAGAGTTTTTTTTTTTTTTTTTTTAAATATCACTTATTATTTTAAATCTAAAATAATATATTTAGTCTATTTAATTTATCGATAATTTATATAATAAAAAAGTCATTATTGTAGTTCTATTTTAATTTATATATATATATATATATATATATATATATTAGTTAATAAAAGATGTTTTATAGAAAAACTTGTTGAAGTAAGTCACTTAGTAAAAGGTATTACCTTAAGTAAGTTGCTAGTGGTCAAAAGGTAGGAAAAGAGTATAAAGAAGTTACTATGGTGGCTTGTAGGATTTGTAGGTGGCGGCTAGATTAAGAAAAGAACCTAGGGTTTAGTTGGATGAGATAGAAATGGATGTAACGTTGATAGAAGTTGCCTCGTTGGTTGGCAACTACCACCTATAAGTAACAAATGTTGGAAGTAAGAACTATCTTACTCCATACTCCCTTTTGTGTACAACCTTGCTGATGCTAAGTGTTGTGACTTCAAAGTGCTTGTTCTTCAATAGGTTATGGGCTCACACACCTTTAGTTGTGATTTTTGAAGTTCTTTGAAGTCTTTGTTGGTATTAAGAGTAGATCTTATGGTTGTTGCTGATGTTAGGATTTGATACCTTCTAAATCTTCTTTTGTATCTAGTTGTTGATATAGTTATGTTCTTACTTGTTATTAAGTGCATTCATAATCTTGGAGGTTGTTAGATACTTTAGATTGATAATTAAGAACACTTGTGTTGTGTTTTCTTGCTGAGTTTCATCATTGGTGCTCTAACTTTGTGCTTTTATGTATTAATGTCTTTAAGAGATCCACTTATTGAGATTAGAGGTACTTTGTGAGGTTATAAGTGTTTTGTAAAAGAAGAGAGGTGATTAAAAAGAGGCAAAGCTTATTCAAGAGGTTATCAGACTTGTCAGAAGTCTTATAAGTAAATTTGAGAGTGATTGAAGAGTGTAAATAATAGTTTACACATTAAGAGGGCATTTTGGATTTTTAAGGCAGCAACATCTTCTTGTTGAATTTGAAAGTTTATTCTTTCTTTTTCTTGATTTTCTTTGATACACCCCTTCCTTAAACATGGCTGCAAGTGAAGGTGAGGATTTGAGAGTAATTGAGAAGTTTAGGGATAACAACTTCTACCATTTGAAGAAGAAAATGGAGTTCTTGTTGGCTTCATTAGACCTTTCGAACATTGTTGATGAAAGTGAAGACCCTCCAAGTGACGATGCTGATATGAAGGTGAAGAAGGAGTACAAAGGACGTGAAAGGAAGGCTTTTGGTATGATTGCAACAAATCTTGATGATGCCAATTTTTCACATGTAATTGCTTGCACTTGACCAACGAAAGCATAGTAGCCTCTTTGCGACATCTATGAGAGTAAAAACCTTGCCAACATTCTATAGACAAAAAGGAAGTTCTTAACAGTAAAGATAGAAGAAAGAGATGTCTTCATGGCTCATGTCAACAAGGTAAAAGCATTTGCAAACTAACTAGCAGTTATTGATACACCAATTGATCATAGAGAAATTGTATTGACATTACTGATGAGCCTTTCCGAGTCCTACAACTACCTCATTGTGGCATTGAAGTCCATCAACATGAAGGAGCTTACTATGAACTATGTCACATCAAGACTTGCCTATGAAGTAACCAAGAGAAAATAAAAAGAACATCAAAGTGAGGATTTGGCTCTATTCTCAAGACAAGGCAAAGGTAGCTATTCTCACCAACGTAATAGTTCAAAGAGCAACATAAGAAATTGCTATATTTGTAGAAAACCATGTCACTTTGCTAGAAATTGCTACAAAGCCAAGAAAGAAGATAGAGAGAATACAAACAATGCTTGTGATAACTTTGGTAAAGATGACTATGCTTTCATGGCAAGTGAAAGAGCCTCTATGGCTGCGATGTCTAAGTGGATTATAGATTCAGGTGCTTTTGAGCATATGACACCATATAAGTGTTTATTTGACACTTATGAAGAAATTTCAATAACCAAAGTTTGGTTGGGAGACAATGGCATGGTACAAGTCATTGGAATTGGCTCAATTTTTGTGAAGATCATTGTGAATGACCAAATCAAGAGGATCAGATTGAAGGAAGTCTTACATGTGCCAAAGATGAAAAAGAACCTCCTTTCAGTGAGCAAACTTGTATTACATGATTGTAAGGTTCAATTTGACATTAATGGATGCTTTGTGAAGACAATGGGTGGATAACATGTTGCCAAAGGCTTTAGGGATGGAAATCTCTACTTCATCAATTGTAAAAAGGTGAATGGAGTTGAAGTGGCTACATTTGCTGATTTTCCACAAGATCAAGACAAGTTTGAAATCTGGCATCAACAACTAGGTTATTTGAATGCCAAGTGCATTAAAGAGCTTCAATCCATCGTAAGTGGCTTGAATCTTCGTCATTTCAGCTACAATGCCATGATACTTATTTATGAAGGTTATATACAAGGCAAAGAACAAAAGAATTTATTTTCAAATGGAGTTACAATAAGTGCAACCAAATTATTGGAGATTGTGCATTCTAATGTTTGTAGACCAATGAAGACACCATCAATTGGAGGAGCAAGGTACTTTGTCATATTTATTAATGATTTTTCAAGAAAAATGTGGATTTACAACATTAAAGCTAAGAGTGAGTACTTTTCAAGGTTTAAGGAGTTTAAAACTGTTGTAGAGAAACAATGTGAGTACAAGATCAAAGTATTGCGCACGGACAATGGAGGTGAATACATGTCAAAGTATTTTGATCAATTCTTGAAGATTTAAGGTATTGTAAGACAAAGCTCTATTACTTACACTCCACAACAAAATGGATTTGCTGAAAGAGTAAATCACACCATTGTGGAGATGGTAAGAAATATGCTTTATGTACAATACCTTGGGTATGAGTATTGGGCTGAAGCTATGGTTACTTCAGTGTACATAATGAATATGTGCCCTATAAGTGCACTCACATCAATGACTCCACAAGGAGCTTGGAGTGACAAGAAACCTTGTGTTTCACACATGAGGATCTTTGGATGCATTGCTTATGTAAAGGTACCAGATTGTATGAGGTCCAAACTTAATGCAAAGAATATAAAATGTATATTTGTTGGATATTGTGAAGGTACAAAGACATAAAGACTAATAAATTTAGAAATCAAGAAGATCATTGAAAGTCGTGATGTTGAGTTTTTGAAGCATAAGAGTGCTTTTGAGCACCTGGAGATGTGTTCAAGTAGGAATAATGGTATGTTTGTGGACACATCATTAATTTCAGTAAAGAAAGAAGAAGAAGATAATGGTGACAATGCAGATGAAAGAAATGCAAATCAAGGTGAAGTGCCAAAGAAGGTAGTCCATAGTATGCCTTCAATTGTTAGAACCAATAATGAAGATATTAATGATAATGATGATGATGAGGAGTATCAACCTTTAAGTAAGAAAAGACAAGCTTTAAGGAAGAAAAAGCTTAGAAGAGAGCATGAAGTACAAGAAGATGAAGCCTCTCCAAATAAAAGAAGATATCCTTTGAAAGAAAGAAAACTACGTGGTGAATAGTGGTGAAGAAGAATACAAATCACTCATGGACAATGAAACATGGGAATTGACTCAACTTCCATCAAATGGATCTTCAATTGGTTGTAAGTGGGTGTTTAGAACAAAAAGAGATGCAATGGATAATATTATGAGATACAAAGCTAGATTGATTGCCAAAGACTACTGACAAGTTACTGGTGTTGATTTTAATGAGACATTTGCTCATGTGGCCAAATTCACCACCATTAGAACCATTGTGCCAATTGAAGCAACAATGAACTTGGAGATGCATCAAATGGATGTGAAGACGATATTCTTAAATAGAAGCTTGAAAGAAGACATCTACATGGATCAACCTCAAGGATTTATACAAGAAGGCAATCAACATCTTGTTTGTAAGTTGAAAAAATCTTTGTATGGATTAAAGCAATCTCTAAGAGTATGGTACCAATGCCTTGATATTTTCTTTGTGACTGAAAGATTTATAAGGAGTGAGGTTGATCATTCATTGTATGTTATGCAATCAAATGAGTTCATATTGATTGTCATCTTATATGTTGATGATTTAATTATCTTAACCAATACTATGAAGATGATGGATTGGTTGAAGGCAAAGTTAGAAAGAGAGTATGAGATGAGTGATTTGGAAGAGCTTCACTATTGTTTAGGAGTGGAATTTGTAAGAGATCCTGTTAAGAAGACCATTACAATGAGTCAAAGCAAGTATATTGAAGAGGTGTTGAAACGATTCAACATGGAGGAGTGTAAGCCTATTCAAACACTTTTGGAGGCCAATTTGAAGTTGATGAAGCTTACGGATGAAGAATTTGCTGAAGCTGAAGGTCAAATGCAAGGAATTCCATATAAGGCAACAGTGGACTCACTAATGTACGCAATGATTGGCACAAGGGTGGATCTTACATATGTGGTGATTATTGTGAGCCAACACATATCAAAGGCTAGACCAATCCATTAGGCAACCATCAAAAAGATCATGAGGTACTTAAAAGGCACTTTGAACTTTAAATTGTGCCTTGGAGGTGATAACATTATTTTGCATAATTATTGTGATGCGGATTAGGTTGGAGATGCAAATGATAGAAGATCAACAACGAGATATGTGCTCTTTGTTGGAATGGGAGCTATATCATGGAATTGCAAGAGACAACCAACAATTGCAAGGTCAACAATGGAGGCGGAGAACATGATAGCAAGCTATGGTGTAATGGAGGCAATATGGTTAAGACAAATTTTGGAGGACATTGGAGATGTAAAAATAGAAGCAACTCCAATTAAGTGTGACAATCAAGGATGCCTTGCATTTGCAAAGAATCCCAAGCATCATTGAAGGACAAAACATATTGACATTCAACATCAGTTCATAAGAGAGAAGATTGAAATGGGAGTGATTGATATGAAGTATTGTACAATAGAAGATATGCTTACTGATTTGTTGACAAAGGCTTTAGGATTATAAGCCCTTTGACTAATAACAAAGTGAGAGTATTGAAGTAAGTCACTTAATAAAAGATATTACCTTAGGTAAATTGTTAGTAGTCAAAAGGTAGCAAAAGAGTATAAGGAAGTTACTATGGTGGCTTATAGGATTTGTAGGTGGTAGCTAGGTTAAGAAAGAACCTAGGATTTAGTTGGATGAGGTAGAAATAGATATAACGTCGATGGAAGTTGTCTCATTGGTTGGCAACCACCACCTATAAGTAATAAGTATTGGAAATAAGAGCTATCTTACTCCATACTCCTTTTTGTGTATAACCTTGCTGATGCTAAGTGTTGTGACTTCAAAGTGCTTGTTCTTCAATAAAACTAAATTTTACTCTTAAGATTATAATAACTTTTTATATATATATATATATATATATATATATATATATAAATAGTTTTAATAGAAATAAAATAAATTATGTAAGTATATATATATATATATATATATATATATGCATATATATTTGAATATATATCTTAAAATATATTAAAATATCTTTCCTTAGATATTTTAATAGTCCTTCTCTCCCTTGGATATTTTGATACATCGCTTGATCAAATTGAATGACATGGCTAGATTGTAGAAAGGAAAAAATGCCAATAAAGTCATCAATTTGATCACAAGAGATATGAAAATATGTATGCTTACATATATACTCAAGTTCCATCCCTATCATTAATATCCTAAAAACAAATAATATCTACTAATTAATTAAAAAAATTAACTTTATTCTATAGTATATAATTAATAATCTTTTATTTTTAATAATTAGTTTATTTTTATTGAATTTTATTATTCAATAGAAGTAATTAACAAAGTCTACATTATATGTATTGGGCAAGCCAAGGCCATGCAGCCAATAAGGCAAAAATAAGCAATCTAGATCGTTGGGTCTTGGTAAGGATGATTTTCATTATGCCTTCAATGTGCCACCTTTGATGATTAATAATTTCTGATTAATAATTTTTTTGTAATAAATGGTAATAATTAATGACAATATATATATATATATATATATATATTCATAGTTATATTTTTTTTATAAGATATGTGATTGGTGCTAGTATAGACTTTAAATTTCACTTTTAGTTTTTTTTTAAATAAAATAGTGTATCATTAATTTACAACTGCTAAGATGCAACAATTCATAATAAATTGCAATGACTAGTTTTAAAATACCAACAACTTTTAAAATTACAATTTCTTTCTTTATTCTTATATTTGATAAAGTACAATTTTATCTCATTAAAAATTGCATACTTCATATATTTTAACGAAATTCATTGTGATTTCTAAAAAGAATGCAAAGTCAGATACAACAATTTAAGATCAAAAGCAAGAAATAAAAAATAAATAAATAAATAAAAACTTCTACAATGCTTGAGTACCATCAATAGAAGATATGACCTGCAATTTTTTTAAAATATGAAAATCTTAATAATAATAGAAATAGACTTGCCACATTATATGGCACATATAAAAAAAAATTAAAACGAATAAGAACTAATGTAAAATTATTGTATACGAAGTTTATAAAATGTTTGTATGAAATAAAACAATAAAACAATAAAAAAGTAAACAATAATACAATTTTCAGATTTGCATGTGCATGTATATATATATTATAAATGATATTGAATAAAATTCCATCTTTGTAATGAAGATAGAATAATAAAACCAGAAATGTATTGTACATTAAATCCAGTACATATATGTGTTGATTAATACAATTACTCAAAATTAATAAACATGTTTATGATTGGTATTTCGCATTTTAAAACAAAAAAGTTGTAGTAATAGATTTTATATTTTATATATCATTAATCTTAAGCTTAGATGACAATTCTAATAAATAATGTTTTTGACAATAATACCAAGTAATGCAAATGTATCTAAGTAGAAAAAAATCAATACGCATTTGTATGTCGATTCACAATTTTTATGAATAAAATTCAAACAGCAATCAACGGCATATCCTGATAAAACTTGACCTCGGAACAAAAGCTAGAAATATGACAACATAGAATGAAACAAAAAGTCGCTTCTTGTGAGGAAACTCGAACTGTTACATACTCAGGCATACAGTGTAAATTAAAATGAAAGGTTTCATAGGGTGACAACCTCCCATTCGTCAACATCTGAGCTTTATTTCGTCAGAAAAAACGCACATCACACAACAACACTATAGAAGTATCTAGTCAAAATATAAATATGATTTCACCTGAAGAAGAAGAAGAAGAAGAATACTTTCTATGTACTGTAAAATTGGGATACATCGGCAGCAGTTTTGAAGGCTGTGGCAGTGTAAGAGTGCCAGGGGGCAGAAACCAACACAAGGAAAAAGTGAAGAATATAAAAACCGCTCTGCAAAGAAAAAGAGGTTTAAGGAATGAAAGATAGACTTGAGGTTGTGGAGTAAATCTAGAGTAACGTAATGCAGTGCTCGAAGTGCGACGAAAGAAATAAGCTACTGCAAGTGTGGAGCTATACAAGGGGGGCCAGCAAGTGGCGCAAGATGGTCGACGTATGACTCAATCGACCCGGGAGATGGCCGATCTGGTCGATCTCTAGACACACCAGCATTTTTATGGATGCAGATGGACGTTGGATCAGTGGAGGTTTGAATGCAACGGGCTTTGTCACAGCCCCTCATTTGCTGAGGAAGTACAATTTTGTTAACGGTTTCTTAGTCAAAGCTAAAAAGCTATGATGCTTCACACTGTGGTCGGGGGGGGAGGGGGGGGGGGGGGTTGGGGGGATCGGAACAATCAGCGGCACCCGATTGCTATGACTACCGATCGCCTTGTACTGGTGAGAAGATTACAGTCCAAGGAGTGGGGGCCTGGGTGTTCGATTCGGATGCTGGAGTACGCAAGCCGAGATCCGGCTAGTCGACTCGAACAAGCGGCAATTATGTTGGAAAAGATGATTTATGGTGCGTGGTCGGTTCACATCTCAAGAACGACAACTGAGGCACAGCAAACGAGCAGATGGGTTCAGAAACAGATCAGAGTGCAGATGTCTGTGCAGATGATTGATTCATCTCTTGTTGTGGTACGATGTTGTAGTAAAATGCGGAAGGATGCCGGGATGTGTGTATGTGTAACTTACATTCTGAATCAGTCTTGACCCAGTGCCCGAAATCGTCCCGGCCACTCCCGCCGACATCCTCTCGTGCAAGCTCCCCTAGCGCAGTCGCCACTCTCTCGTGCATGGCCACTCTTCTCCTGAACTCGGCAACTTTCGGGCTGCAAGCACCGGTGGGATGACTGTTTCGTGGACTCATTCTGTAGTGTGCGGAACTGGGAGGTCGAAGGGCTGGAGTAGTCAAAACTTCTCCGCTTTCAGCCCCATTAGCTGTGCATGACGGACCCTGATCAACGGAGACAGGAGAGGTCGACAAAGATGTTAATCACAATGATGATCTAGCCTCGAACCCTAACACAAGCTTCCGCCGGATTGGATAAGAGCGCTCTAGTAATTGCTCCGAAAGTTTCTTTTAATAAAGATCTAAAACGAGCAACAAGTCTCGTCATAAGGAACCAATGTGGTGTTCATTTACCTTAAACTCTTCTGAAACTCGAGGTGAGCACGGGGTTTTTTCAGGTGCAATCCTCGCGGACGACTGTTTGCAGCTGGACCGCCAAAACTTTGCGAGCTTTCCAATAGATGGTACACCATTGGTTCCAAACTTCAACACCGATTTCTTGGTTTCCTTCTCAGAAAGCTCGTTATACTTCTTGTCCTTATTCTCGACAAGTGCGACTTCCTTCTGACTGTTCTTGGACTTGCTAGACTTCGAAGCTTTCCTCTTGGAAGTGAAGAGGCCGCAGAGACGAGATGAGTAGTCAGAGTGGTACTCATCATCAGGAGACGGACCCTCCCCTTTCGCAGGCTGTGGAGGTGGCACATGATCGGTCCAATGAGGTGCAAAATTCGGCAATTGAGACTTACTGTAAAGTAAAGCACTGACGGGATCAAGCGCCTTCCTGAATTCCGGTGGCATTGTCGTAAGGAGGACGATTGGCTTTACTCCCGCAATTGCAGTGCGATTGCCCTTGGATTTGTGGAGGGTGAGGGCCTTGTACTGATTCGCGGTAGCAATCCTTTGTTTTCTGGATTCTTGATCGGCCTCTAAGTCACCGCCAGGAATGTACACGTCTGATCCGTAGACGGGTAGGTCGCAAGTCTTCCGGGCGTCTACCCAGCTCCATTGCAGTTGCTCCTCGTCGTCAGAGCTCAGCATTGCGCCGGAGGTGCAAGACTCGAACCCCGATTCAGTTCCTTCGTTCTGGTATCCTTCCTTTACAAGAGTGTCCCGGAGCATTGCGAGCTGATCCAAGGCGAATGTCCCGATTGCCAGCAAGCCTTCCTGCTCATTGCTGAACACGAATCGGATGGTCTCCCGTAATTTCTCGTTAGATACCATCTTGTCAGCGCAGACCTTGTGATTCACATTAGCGTCATGATGGTAACCATCTTCTTCCAAATCGAGAAGTCCCTGTTGCTTCCTGGTCTCCGTTCTGCCGCTCTTAGATGGCAAAATAGGCTTTATGGGTGTCCCTCGGACCAAACTTTGGCCTCTGACATTTCTCCAATCTGTGCAGAAAAAGTGAAAATCAGTACTTCTAATACTGATAAGATTGTGTCAATTGCAGATCACTTGACATCCAACTCTCTAAATGACTAACATTCTGCCTAGATCTCTAACAAAGAGTCAATCGTATTCGTCCAAAAGACGTCTAGGCAAGCTAATACTCACACCAAAACTGTGGAGTACGAAATTCCACCGAAATGATCCCGACAAAGCTCATCATTCTAAATACTCCAACTTAAACCCGTATAATTTAAGTACTTCTTGTTGAATCGATTGGGAATGGACGATTGAGTGAGATCATTGTGCTATTGTGATGGAAGTGCACCTGGTGAGATGACTTGCTGTAGAACTGGCTGCTGGGGGTTCTTGCTCTTACCCCACCCGAATAACTAAAGCTTACCACACAATGCTGGATAATCAGACTACTGTGCTGGAAAAAGGAATCAAAGCTACTGTGATTTTCCGAAATTACAATACATACCAAGTGCTCTATGCTGGTAGGAAGTATCTTTTTGTGAGTCCTACCACAGTATATGAAGTCAAGGCTTCGCAAAGTATGTTGAAAAGAGAATTTTTCAGACATTCTGTGAGAAAAATAGAGATGAGGTTGGTGCTCGCAATGAAAATCGTACCTTCATGTTGGGCGCTGCTGAGAAGTTCCGTAATTCCAATGATCTAGCGAGTGTTCCAAATGAAGGAAACGTCCATCAAAATCTGTCACTAACGTGACATTTCGTGATCGTAGTTCAAAGAAGTCGATGAGCAGGGGGCTTTTGCAATATTCCTGAAACCTCTTTAATAACTTGAGTCGAGTATGATGGGATCTTCGAGAATGCTTTCGAAATCACTCTCCGGGTATTGAAAATACCAACTGACCTGTAAGAAGGTCCGAGATGGTTAAGGCATGACTGCGTGAGGAGGGAACTTAGCATACAATCGACTATATCCAAACTCTGAAGGGAAACTCGCAGTTTTGGGAATTTCGCAAAGAGTTTATGAAACAGCCATCGTCTTCTGGGCGGGGGCTTCTTGATCACGAAAATGTGGACCCAACCTGATGGTGACAAAATACGGCCTAGGATCCTGACAGACAGCAGACTCTAGTACTGATGTTCAGTTTCGCTGAAGACAGTCTAGCGACTGCACATGCACACACTTGCATATCACCAGAGCCACTTGCACAACCTCCGTGAGGTACCCATCGTCACAAGTCAAGTTCTGCGCCTTGGCTTAAACCCTGAATCTTGGAACCTAGCTAACCCACGACTTGCCATGTTCCGTTTCGGCATTCAGCATTGTACGACAAAGCTGTGTAATCTTGTGAGCTGAACGCACAAGGGTGGAGTTATGAGGAAGAGTTGTAGATCGAACAACTATGATACGGACCACTCGATAGACACCGTTATCGCGAAGGAGAGGAAGAAGAAGTAGAGGAATAAGAGGAAATAACAGATATAATAGGAGGAAACGTATGTAAGCTTCTAGAGTACACCAGCCTCCAAGTCACAAGCCTCTAACATGAGTTACCTGAGCGATGAGTCAGTCCGTGGACGCAGTCGTGAGCGATCAGCAACAGATGCGGGCCACGGCAATCTGGAAAGCAAAATGGGGATACATCAAGCAGGAGAAATGAATGCGAGTAGACTCATTAAGGCAGCTCCAGACCCACACGTTGTGAGCTAAGGGGACGCTGGCAGCATCTGCGACGGTTCATCGCCACGAAGAATGTGGGTGTATTTGACCCATCAGGCCAGTTGAATGGATTATCAGAGACGATTTCTACAGAAAATAGCCTCTGTATATTGTAACTCTATGCACTAACAACATCAGTTATGGCCCCCACACTGAAACGTAGAATGCCGAGGCTTCTGATGTTCCAGATCTCCGCGATTCTGATTGCTCACCCTGATTCATTTTTAGGTTCGATGATGGTGCGGGTATTTGGCACACTTTTCTTACACATCTATGGAAATCACTGCAAATCTCTAAATTTCGTTTTTACATTTTCTATTGCTCGTGTATATTATAAGGCGTCACGGTATTGTCATCCATGCAACAGAGAATTGCAGCCAGTGCAGAACCAGGCAGCGCTTCAGTAAATAGACTTCATGCTAATTCAAAAAGAGCAAATCATACTACGCAAATGAAAATAGTTTGGAATTTTTTTCTGTCTATTTTTAAACTGTGTATTTTTACACTGTTGTAGTGATGCAACGGTTCCCTGCTTGACAAGCATCGACAATGGGGTAGTTTCGGATTAGAGAAAATTTAGCCCTGAGATTCAAAATCAGTCTCACAAAATGAGTGCAAGATAGGTGAATGACGTAAGTTGCGAATAGGCCAATTACTCCACCCGAGCACCTTCATCTTCTCTCCTTGGAATCTTTCTTACGCCAACCAACACTATCCTCTGCTAAAAGGAATATATTGGCATTGCTTTTGAGAAAGAGTTACTAGAATGCTCAGGTACTTTACGACGTAACGATGGCTACAGTGATAACGAAAAAGTGTAAACGACATCGCACCAGTATGAGAAAATCCGATAGCACATGATGAAATATCCAACTAGGAAAATGCAGTGATGCAACGATGTCATCACCGACGCCCCCACTTGAAAGTAAACTCATTTTTCCAACCGACCAAGTTAACGAAAGCCATCTCAATCTCTACATCTCACAGCAGAGTGACGATTGTTCATTCCTCGAGAAAGAAAACTCGACAGCCCTGCGTGTCAGTTCATGTAGCATACTTTAAAATGCTGTGTGAGCTGGACACTTAAAACAAGGCACGGAATTCCCTCACACAGATATCTTTATGATAAAAATCCATCACATCCCAGTTGTGAATCATGGTTTGATCCTTTGACTAGCAAATGTCAAGCTTTTTATACAAGCTTTTCTTAATATGTGTGTGTTCGATTCGGGTAGTAATTGGTAGAGTGTGTTGGAAAAATAGAATAATAATAGATTTGTTTGTTTTTTTTCCCATTTGCTAGACATAGCAGTCTTTTCTGGATTGGGTAACATAGGCAACCTCTACAGTCTTTATTCACTTTAGTGGAGAGCAGCCTTCACCCCAAAATCACTCACTCCATTCACAACTTAAGGTAGCACTTTTCCACTTTTGCTTATCCTGGCGTTTAGGTTTGGTTTCCACTTCGGCAGCAAAACTTATTGCAGTACATCTTGTTGAATTTTCCTCGTTTTTTAATCCTAAAGGGCTTGTTTTATAGAACTTTTAGACTGCTACTTTATGGACAGTCTTCAAATGACCAGTTAGCTGCATTGGACTTTGTTGCCATGTATATTATTGGTTTCATGTATGGACATCAAAAAGTAGAAATGAAAATTGTACGTATCACAAAAAACACACACACATATAAATATATATATATATATATATATATGATCAGTATGTTGTGATGTGCATGCATTTGCAATGTCATGTGTTCAATTGTTTTTAAAGTAGTCTCTAAAATATTTATGCAAATATGACAATGGTCAGACTTGTTTGTTTATGTTCTTATGTATAGACTAAAAACTTATTGTTCAAATTGTTATTTTTTAAGGTGTAAGAAAACACACTTTTTATACCTTTTGTACATTTCAAATTTGCTACAGAAGAATACGATATGAGCCAATTAAAGGACTTCATTTAATTTATGTTTTCACATTAATTATAATTGTTATAAGCATAACAATTGATGCGTGACATTGTAAACATAGAATCGGTTATTTCACAAGTTCAAAAAATATAAATCAAATCCAACATTTTTAAAGGAAATAAAATAAAACAAAACACATCATGAATAAATCTTTGTAATGTAGAAGTGACCATAAAGAACCTTTTAGAGATGAGTCCTCCGTATTTACTATGGGTTGGTAGAAGAAGGTAAGGTTCATTAATACCCACACCAATACTTTAATGTTGTATTATAATTTTAATAAAGAAAAAAAATCATTGTAAAAATCCTGTAGAAGCAGAAATGATTTTCTATTGAAAACAAAAAGGAGAAAAAAGACATGTAAAAATCCAAAATAAACCAAAATAAAAGAAGCAGGTACAGCTGAAAGAAGGAGAGGAAATGAAGAAAAAATAGCATGGAGGAGAAAAGGATTAAAAAAAAAAAAAAAACAAAAAAAAACAAAACAAAACAAAACAAAACAAAAAAAAACTTCTAGAGACTCAACCATCAAGACACAAACCATTATATTAATAGAAACTTATACATTGCCAAAATAATCTTGTGCAGAAGGTGCCATTCCTCCCACCCTCCTTTGTCTCAGAACTAAAAATTCTTCTACATTCAACATATGACTTCCATATTTTAAGAAAACAATTGCTTCACTATAGCCATTTGCTTTCAAATAATTTTTAATAAATATTTTTTTTATTTTCATTTTTATTTTTGTTTCATGTTGAGGGTGACTCCATCCAAACAAACAATTCACATGGAATATGTTGAGCAAAGGGCAATTGTACAAAAGCACAAAAACTATACAAAACTGGGATTCCACGCAAGGTGGAATGTGGGGGAGGGGAATTCCACAGTCAGATTCATTGCCCACATTGTTCAAAATACAAAGAATACAATTACCACCATTCCAAGCTTGTGATGGTGATAATTTATGCTTTAATAGGGTTTGTGTTTGTGAATATAGCACTAGGTAGGCTATGGAGTGTGGAGTACACAACAATGGAAGTCAAAGCTTATGCATGTAGTGTGAAAGAATCTAATAGAAGCATGCCCTAGAAGAGAAGAAATTGAACTAAAAAATTGAAGAGTTTGTCTATTCACAGTCAATGCAATTTTAAAAAATACAAAGAATGATGTTCAATACTCACAGCCATGGTGGGCTTGGCTAAGGTGTAAACAGTATTGAAACACAAGTGTGGGTCGAAAACTGCTGATACTCTCACTACAGAGTTTGGTTTGTTTGTGATAACACTAATCTATGATTCCTGGGAAGAGTACATGTTGATGTATTTTTGTCAAGTTTTGGATGTTTCCAGATCCATTCAGATGTAGGCATGGAGTTTGTGCAAGCTACATTTGATTTGTTAGCTATAATACTAGAGACTATCTTTCAAAAGTGGCATCCAAACTATCAAGTTCTATCATTCTACTAAGTTTTGTTATTCACGTTTAAATTATCTTTGTAGAACAAACAACTTGTCAAAGAACTTAAATGTATATTTTTTAGGGAGATTTGTGATAAATCAAATCAAATAACAATAACAATAACTCAATTTCACGAGCTGTTTAGGGGAAAAAATGAAAAAAAATAAATTTATTAAATTATTCCAAAGAATTTTTTAATAAGTTTTTGAAACTACAAAAGAATAATGAAATAAAATTGTTTTTTTTTGTTTGTATCCCTCTTTTCTCGCTCCTATACAGGCCTGTTTGCAGTGCAGCGGTGGGGAAGCACAAAGCGAGAAGAGCGACTCGTCCTGGCCAACGCTACGACCTCACCCAAGTGAATATCCGGTGAAGGCCCGCATCGTAGCGCTGCTTTGTTTAGCGCCGCACATCGCTTCCAGCAGGGTGCCTTCACATGCTGCCAGATCCCTCGCGCCCAAAGATGGAGATCTGGTGAAGCAACGCAAGCATTATGTCGGTGGGGGCAAATTTAGGGCACAGAATTGTGCCTGAGCGACACCCAACAATCCCGCACGTGTCACGTGGAATCCCCACAGCACATGGTTTGTACTTCTGTGTGCGGATCGGTCGACACGGAAATCTGTTTCCTTCATACCAATTTGTTTATTTTTCTATCTCTCTGTCCCCCAGCTCATGTGTACTGGTGAAATTAGCCTCGCCCTTAGTTTCTTCGCAGACGCAGTGCAGTTGCATTTGAATTTCTGTGGTCTTTCCCTCAGACCTCAGACGCCATAGATCGTGGAGGCACGGAGGCTGCTGGATTTAGTTCTGGAGACATGAATTTTTAGCGACTTGCAGATTCGCAGTGCGAGACAAAGACTACTAATATATTATATAATAATTATTTATAACTTAGTAATTATTCTTATAAATTAACATATTAATTCGTATTTAAACTACACAAAGTTATTTTTACTTCAATTTTTAAAATGTAAAATAATATTTTTATTGATTGTATTGTAAAAATTTGTTTTGGATAAGAATTGTGTATTTAAATTTGTACCACAATTTTAAAAAGCTCTAAATAAAAGGAAAAAGAAAAAACTCATATGCATAATCAATATATAAATATATGTCAAGGATATGAATCTCAAACAAAGAAATCCTCAATACACTCTTGTGATACTAAAAAGAACTAGAAAATCACTCAAAAATGATATATTATTGGAATAGTGTCACAGACATACTCATAATTACATATACAAATAGATAGAAGTAAATAAAAGTAGATAAAAGTAAATTAATTCTATAGTATTTGATATGAAAGCTTCGTAGAAGCTTTATAGACACTGCTTTGACTTCATAGGTGTCTTTAATTGACTTTTTGGATTAGAAACGTGGTCAACAAGTTGGCCATGTGCCACACATGTTGTTAGCTTGAAGATCAAGCTAACTATATGGCCGACATGTAGAAAAACTTGCCTTGTAAGTCAAGGCATGTGTCCTACAAAGTCAACACATATTGGAGGTCCTATAGAACGTTGCCACGTAGCTTCTAGTTAGATAGTATATATAGAGACAAGACTGAAGCCTTCTTCACTCTTGTCAACTCATTTCTTACTTCCAATCTAGTTTCAAAGGTCTCTAATTTTCTTTTGGCAATAGCCATTCTAGTTTTTCTTTCAAT